ATGTTCTGAGGGATCGGCCATTCAACAATGGCTCTCACATTCTCGGGATCTGCTGAGACCCCATGTGCTGAAATGATGAAGCCCAAAAAGATAACGCGGTCTTCAAGGAAGGTACATTTCTTATGATTGGCATACAGTTGCTCCTTCCTTAAGACCTCACAAATTTGCCTTAAGTGGCCCAAGTGCTGGCTTACCAACTGATTGTAAATAAGAATGTCGTCAAAGTAGACGACGACAAACTTTCCCATAAATGGATGCAACACTTGAGTCGTGATTCTTATGAAAGTACTAGGGGCAGTTTTCCACTCATCTTCGGGTCGGATCCGGATCTGGTGGTATCCACTCTTTAGATCAATTTTGGAGAATAGAGTGGCACCCGTCATCATATCGAACATATCGTCTAGCCTCGAAATAGGAAAATGATATTTGACATTGATTATGTTGATAGCACGGCTATCAAAACTCATCTCCAAGATCCTTCCTTCTTTGGTGTAAGAAGGGTCAACACCGCGTAGGGACTAAGACTCTCCTTAATAAAGCATCGCTGCAATAACTCATCTACCTTCTTCTTAAGTTCAGCATGTTCCGTGGGGTTCATGTGATAGTGTAGCAGGTTCAGGAGGGAGGCTCCAGGGACGAAGTTTATGGCATGCTGAATGTCTCTAAGTGGGGGTAACTAATATGGGAGATCATCGGGGAAGACATCAGCATACTGTCCCAGAATGGGTTGGATTTCTCGAGGAATAGGTTCGTCTGATTCGGCAGGAATCTCACGACCCACTAAGGTGTATAGAGGTGCGCCTTGAGCAACCTCAGAGTTCAAAACCTTGGCGGTGACTAGGTTCAGTCCTTTCTTGGACTTAATAGGGTTGGATTTAGAGTCATCCGTAACCCAGGGCTCCTTTCTTGAACACGCAGGTGTTCGAACGCCCAAAAATATAGACATCATTATCATAGATCCAGGAGCGACCCAAAATTATTTGTCCAACATTCATGATCAGCACATCGCACCAAACATTCTCCTTGTAGTTAGCAAAGGAGATAGGTATGATGCTTCGTTCTTTCACCTCTAAGGCAGTGGAGTTGACCCACGCTACCTTATACGGGTTGGGGTGAGGAATTGCGGAAAGATCCAACTTGGATACCATGCTGGAAGATACAGCGTTTATGCAGCTACCACTATCCACGATAACCTTACATTCTTGTCTTTGATTTTGGTGTAGATGTGGAAAATCGTGGTCCTACGCCAGTCATCAGTGGGAGTCGAGTGTGATAGCGCACATCTCACCACGCAGATGGGAGAGGTATCTAGCTTCTGAAGGCAATGGAGGACTATAATATCCTCATCCTCCTCGAAGAATTCGCCTTCATCCTCGACCTGGTGGATCTGATCAACCTTGAGCTCGAGATCGTCCTCAGTAATCTCCTCGATGATCGAGACTTTATAGGGATTGGAGCACTGAGAAGCAATATGCCCATACCCCTGACATCGAAAGCACTTGGTCCTGGGACTGTACTGAGTGGTATCCGGGGTGGGAGGTTTAGACCTAAAATTGGATCGAGGTGCAGGAGGACCCGTGGGTGGTCGGGTCGTGCTCGCATAAGTGGGTCGGGCAGTAGGAGTGTGAGGAGTGGAACTTCCGGACGTTCTGTAGGAGGGCCTAGAGTCATGTGAACGGTTTGGGTGTTGGGAACGGGTCTCTAAATCAAGCACTAGGATGTAGGCATTCCTCAGGGTAGTTACATTCCGGGCAAACAACTTGTTGCGAAGATCCTCTCGTAACCTGGTACGAAACATAGACAAGATTTGCGCGGAGGTGGTAGAGGTCTCCCCTTTGCAGCGAATTAGGTAATCATCGAAGGAGGCGATGTACTCCTTGATTGGTTTGTTTCCCTAGGTTAGCCTATTCCACCTATCCAACAACCTAGGAAAGTAAAAGGGAGGCAAGTACTTCTGCTTAAGTTTGCGCTTCATAGATGGTCAATCAGTGATGGGGTAATCGTTCCTGGTTTTTCTAAGGCTCTCTAAGTTCGCCCAAAAAATGACTCGCCCTACCCGTGAGCTTGATCTCCGCAAAACTAACATTCCTAGTCTCTGAGATATTATATCACTTAAAGAAACTATCCATACTTTTGACTCAGTCCAGGAAGAGCTGGGGATCGAGAGTGCCATCATCAACTTTAATGTTCTTCATGAGTGGTATGTCCGGATCATGACGAGGGTCATGTCCATAGTGAGGAACTCGATGATTGGCACGATGTTGCCTCTCATCCGGATAGGTTTCATCCCCAAACATAAAAGGTGGTCTAGATGGGGTGTAGGGGGTAGGATGCTCTCTAGCTCTCTCAAGGGTATCAAATCGCTCAATGGCGTCTCTACGAAGCTCGGCTAGGTCTGCTTGGTTCTATTTGAGTTGTTGGCTAATGTTGTTCATTTGACCTACCAACAAGTCTAAAGTCCTACACCAAGTTGTTCCGGGTCCATTGGAGTTCACTACGGGACACCTAGGGTGACTAGGATGCAAAGGGCAGCAAATAATATGAATACGCTTATGATTTGTAAAATGAGTGCATAAAAAGTAATGACAACAACCTATCAAGTACTAAATGAAACAAATGCAATGGCGGAATGAGTAACAAAGTAAAATGATAATAAAAGAGAACTCTACGATGGATCCTAATACATGCAATAAGAGCAAACCATACTTTGATACCAGATGATGTAGGACTACAATGCTAAAAGTAATTTGGTAAGAGTTTGCACAACTTATTGATTAGAATAATAAAGATTAGGACTACTAGCAATTAAAACAACAAAATAAAACATAAGAGCGGTTACTTCCGTTTAGGCTAAGTTGCACAACAAGAGCTTTGAACTATCAAGATAACATAGAAAATCAACAACATGCAAATATAATAGCTTTCAACGAGAATCCTTAATCTAACAATAAGATTAGAAACAACTGAAGTGCACTCAATCCATACATTTACTAAGCTCGGCAGAATTAGGTGAATCCAATTTTCATGAATTAAATCAAATCACAAGAAAGAGGGTTAGACTAAGGAATTACAAGAGGGAGATTGGAAGACCTTCGTCAAGGTTCAGATGTAATTCTCCACTGTACGGTCCCAAGTTGCTCTTCAATAGCCTCGACCAGGGTGTCCAGGATGCGCTCTATGTATTCTTCTACGGTGTGGTCGATGCACGGGTTGATGTCGAAGAAGGTCGAGTGAAAGATGCAAACTAATTCTTGCTCATCGTAGGCGAGGCCGTAATCAAGATCTGGATCGGCCATTCATGAAGGCTAGATGACGTCGCCTTCAAAGATCACTAGCAACCTTGAAACTCCGTTAGAGAGAAAGAAGTTTCTCTTAAACTTGAAGTGGAGATGATGAAGTATGGTGGTTAATTTGGTTTTGGTTTGGGATAAGGGAAAGAGACTCCAAACATTGCTCTAATTAATCCCTTGACTTGGGAATAATTAAAGAGGAGGGAGAGATGATTGGGGCGGCGGCAAGAGGGAGAGGGGATGAGGGCTTGTTTCCAAAACTTGCTGTAAGGTTTTGGAAAGTATATAAGAGGTGTGGGGTCTTGTGAATTTCTGCCAAGAGGAGGTGGGGGAAGTTTGAATTGTTTCCAAGGTGGGGAGGTGGGATTTAGGAAACAAATCTTAATTTAATCCTATAGGGGGCCGGCGGCATTAATGAGCTAGGGAGGGAATTAAGGAGGCTTTAATGCTTCCTTAAATTAGATAATTAGATTTGGAATGAAATAACTCATTCCAAATTAAATAAAAATTCAATATGGAGGGATTTAGAAACTTTCCTAAAATAGATTTATAATTTAGGAAAGATTTTAAATTTCAAATTAGGTGAATTTGAATTCAAAATCTGCCCAAATTATGGCAATCTAGAATAGGAAATAAATCCAAGAGATGGCAAGGGGATAGGGGACGGCGGCTTGCTTGGGGTTCGGGTAAGGGAGCCGGCGGCGAGGTGGAGGCGGCTTGGAGAGTTCGGTGGGGGGTGAAGAAGGGGTTTGGTGGTGATGAAAGTTTGGACAAAGGTGATGGAGGGGAGGTAAGGCCGGTGGTGGTAGGGGGAGGAGGAAGGAAAAGATAGAAGGTAGAACCATGAACCGACTCATTTAGGTTGGTGGGTGTTGCACAATTCTCGCTCTCCTAGGGATCTCACTCCAATCTCTCAAACTCTCATGAGAATTCAAACAAAGAGAAGCAAAGTTTTCAATTAATCATTCATTAACTTGAAAAGAAGAACAATGGGGCTATAAATAGCCTCGTACAAAGACTCACAAAATAAAAGGACGACAATGCCCCTTTGGCTTGGATACGACCTCCCTAATAAAAAGGGTACAATGGGAAACTAATAAAGCAAATACAATATGACATCATAAATAAGAAAATACATAAAACAACTCATAAATACAATGACTCAATCATGGTTGTAGATCGACGGCCACTTCTCTGATAGACCTTCGACGATCTGAAGTCCCCATCAGTTAATCTCATCACTGGAACAAGATTTAGATATGGTTGTAATGCTGGATCAATTATTACTAACAATTGTTCACCCTAATACCAGGATAACTTTGGTCAAATGAAACTAAAGTATGTTTCAAACTGATTTTGTCGTGTCCATTGTTGCTTGTGAAATGTTTTGGGAATTTCTTGGTCCACTGGCAGTGTCTTCTAGCGGCATGCCATATTTTACTTGATAAAAAGCACTTTTAGGCTTCGTTTGGGATGTCTTTTTTCCTGTTCCTTAAAACAGTTTTCTAGTATAAAAATTAAAATCTATGTATTAGAAAGCCGCTTTAAGAAGCAGGAAGAAAGTCGTCCCTTAATTGGAAAAACACGTTGAATTAAGTTATATTAAATATTTGCTTAGTGGAAAATCCCTACTTTTAAGAAAAAGTAAAATGAAAAACTAATATATTGTAACCTATTATTTTCATTACTCTGATTGGGGCAATCATTCAGGTGAAGCTGAAGCTATACTAGCTAAATCTCGAGCAACTGCTGAAGGACTCAAGTTATTGTCAACGGCAATTAAAGCGGATGGAGGATTTGAGGTACGATTGTTCCTCATTTTGGCTGTCTGTTTTGGTTTTTTTTTTTTCTTGAACTGCAAAGCCTGATTCTCCTTCTGCAGGCAGCAGGCCTAAGAGTCGCTGAACAATACATCACTGCATTCTCCTCAATAGCAAAGGAGGTAAAGTAATACGCAAGACATGCCACTCACTTTTTTCAAAGATTACTATCCACTTCTGGACAAATTATTAGGTGCGGAGTCCGGACGTCCTCCAGAGGTCAATAAAAAGTGTACCGTGCTCAGTACCGAACGCGGTACCGGACGGTTCTCCCGTCCGGTGTCCGCACAGAATAATCTCTCCCACTTTTGATATATGTTGAGCATTTTTTTTACTATTTTTTGTCAGGGAACAACTATGTTGCTACCGACTGCCGCTGGTAATCCATCTTCTATGATAGCTCAGGCTCTCTCCATATACAAAACACTTCAGTTTGGGAGCTCAAACGGTCGGATTCCTGGCCAGGGGGAAAACAAGGCCGAAGATCTTACTGGTACAGAGGCCACTGACACAACTCATTCGTGGACATCATCCATTTCCAAAGCTTCAAGTCCCACTACAGATACCAGCAGTAAGGGATTCTCTCTTGCAAAGCCCCATAAAGATGAGTAGCCTACCTTTGCATTGAAGTTAAATAATGGAAACATAATAAAATTTTGGCAATTTGTTTCTTGTATTTGAACCTGCAGCCATAGGTCTTAAAACCTTTTGGCTCTTTCATTTTGAAACTCCCAATACTAAAGTTGTATTCCCTATATCTTCCTACAGCAAGCAGGGATGAGGTTTAGATTCTTTCTCTCCATATTAATTTGTACGAGGCATGTCTTTTTGGCGTTAGCCTTCAAATTCATCCATCATTAAAGGAAATGGTGAGAGAGCTATTGGCAATTTACTAACTTGTGGTAAGTAGTGAAGTTTTATTTTTATTGTCAATATGATAAGAGATATCATTATCAGTCATGTTATTTGATAATAAAACCTTTTAATATGTTAATTGATATGTCATCAAAAAATTAGTTTGATCGGGCACAAATTTTAATGCAAATATGAATTAGAAACTTTCAAAATTAAATTCAGGACCATTTGAATTTCAATTCAGCAACTTATGGACAAATTAAATGTTTTGAAGAGATAAACCCAACGACACCAAAATCAGTTCATTCTGAACCCATTATTCAGGGCCCGAAGCCTATTTTGAAGCCTCAAAATATTAATTGAATGATCAAATGATATTGAAATATGGCATGCTTATAGTTGAATCAAGTGGCTCGACGAGACGAATCCAACGAGCCCAAGATCGTTAAATTTCGACATCATTAAGACCCTCAAATGTTTGATAAATGATCATGATCGAGAGAGTTGATATTAGCCGTTTTTTAAAACACTCAATGTTCTCTACGTGTCCTTGATCTTCTCTCTATTTATTAGCGATGTCACTAATAAAAATTTATTAATAATCTCTCATTCTTTATAAAAGGGAAGAGGAAGAGAAGAAAAATAAAATCTCTCTTTCTTTATCAAGCTTGCACCACTTTCTTGCCAATCATCGACCACCGCTAAACTTTCGGCTATTCATTGGTTGTTATTGGATCTTTTCCCAACAACCAAACATTTTCACTTTCCCAACAACTAATTAAAACTGAATCTCCAGCAATCATTAGACATTGAAAGAACATTCTATGTCATTCAATTTACATCAAGGAGATCAATTTTTTTTAAGTTTGGAAATCTCTTCAACATATTGTCTTCTTCCTAACCTTGAGTTAAGGGATAAGTTGATGTCATTGGATTACTATCCTTTTGAACTTCGTCACCTAACAATTATGGTCCCTTCAACCATTGTTTGTGTACGATCCTTTCGAGCTCTGTTGCCCGCTAACTATGGTCCTTCCGACCATCACCGCCCTACTAAGGTCAACTCCAACCGATGTCGCCTGCTAACTACAATCCCTCGGACCATTGTCACTCACTGACTTCGATCCCTCCTATCACAATCGTCCACCGATTACGGTCTCTACTATTTCTGTCTCCAAGGCCCTCCCCCTAAGGAAGGACATCATTTTTATTCGACTACAAACACTAGTGAAATCATTTTTAACTGAGCTAGACCCAATAGTTTTTTCCCTTTTCAGAGTTTTCCACGTAAAAATATCGGTATCTCTTATTACTTTCGCACTCTTCTCTCTCTTATCTATTTATGTGTTTGATCCTCATTCAAATCTAAGACATTAAATTCTTTATATCTCTATGCCACGAATGTTCCAAAATACAACATTAATAAAAATTATTAGCATATTAATAAAAAATTATTACTATAATAGCCATCAAAATTATGTTAATGAACTTCTCAGATGAAAACTGTACATCAATATTTTTTGCTAATTAAAACTTTGAGAAATGTAGCAATTTCTGTGAGAATTTTAGTACTGTAAATATAGCTTCCATATAACTCTAATCGCCATGACCTAGAAATCCGAAGGAATGTGACAATTATGTCGGCATGCTAAACAAAATATGTAGCCTACGAGACATTCAGATTTCCAACACCTTTAAGCATTCACTCTTATTCCTCTTTCATTGATAAAAATAAAATAGCATGTTAAGATCACCACAACAGACCAAACAAACCGTACATAACACCACTTCTGCATCCTCATTCATCATCATTCCTATTCACATCTTCACCCTCAGCACTCTGCTTCTCATTTTCTGGTTTCTCTTTCTTCTTCTTCTCCTTTTTCTCCTTATCTTTCTTCTTTTCCTTGCTCTTTGTCTCATGATATTCTTCAACTCCTTCATCATCTCCTTCCACATAATCCTGGATGAGGAGATGAACGCCGGGGTCCTCAGCGCCGCAGCTACCGCCAATCACAATGGCGTTGTTAATGCTTTGATAATTACTATTGGCAAATGCCTCGGTTCCCTCGCCGCCATTGGGGTTCACGGCAGCAGTGGTGTGATCGATGGAAGCTCCAGGACCTTCCATCTTCATCATTGCTCCTATGTTCGACCCAGCGAGTGTGATGATCCCCATGGCATCATCAGCACCGACATTGTCGGGTTGTCCGAGTCCAGTGAGGATGGAGATCACGTCGCGGAGTTCATGGTTGAGCCGCTGGTAGCTTTGTTCTTTAGCTGCCGGAGAAGACATGGGAACCAGGGAAAGTTTGGTAGGTAATTAGTTTTTGATGTTTTGAAACGTTATAAGTATTGGTATTTATATGTGTAGTAATCTTGAAGTTGAAGAAGGGGGAAACTGGCAAGAATATAGAGTTAGAGAGTTTTGGTTTGATTCTGATGCTTGCGTGGGACTTAATCCAGCATGTTTAGAGGGAATGAGAGGTAGCTTGGCGTTATAAGTAACGTTGCTTGCTTGCTTCAGGAGTTGGATCTGAAACTTTTGGTCTGAAAATCAAACAAGGTATTATTTGTGTTAGAGTTAGCTCTTTTTAATGATTATCAAAATGAAATAATTGTTCAAAATTTCTTGGGATTTGGTCAAAATAACATAGAGGCCCTTAAAAGACTTATATTATAATATTTTGACTTAATTTTTCGTGGACTTCTTGTGATGATTTTTTTTTGGAACTGGTTATCCACCGATTGTCACCTCTGAAAAGATGCTTAGTGGCATGATTAATCATCGGCTGATCTAGAAGAGACATTCACCCCAGAAACTTTCTAGTATGCACTTGATTGGGCCCCACTTAAAAGTCAACGCCCCTCGAGGGGAATCGAGCACGGGTTGGGGGTTTACAATTGTACTCACCCACCAACCAAGCTAAGCAACGGTGGGTCTTGTGATGATTTTGATTCTATGAAACCATCATGTAGCATGAGTCCAAACTCTTATAAATATTGGGGGAAGAGTCATATTTAGAGTACCTTTTTTTATGTGTATGAGAGAATCATAATCTACTTATTATCCAATATATTTTATGTTATGAAGCAAAGAGAATTACCAAATGTGATAGAAGAAAATAATTTGATAAAACATGGGATGAAGAATTACCCCTACGAAGAAGAATATATTTTGATGTTATGAAGCAAAAGAGAACGTTTCCTACAAAAAAATTTTCCTTCAATGAGTGGAGAAATCTACTGCTGCTTCAATGCAAGAAGGTAGCTACTCCTGCCATAAATTAGGAGGATGTAATCAATTAATGGATTTTTTGAAATTATTTATGAAGGATATGTTTTCTTAAAAAATGATAGATTGTATGTATGATTATAACAAAATAATAATCAACATTCATTACTTGAAAATGGAGACTAAATGCTTGAAAAGGCTATATTCCCTATAGATATATATGCAAATTCATTGTGTTTAATAATATATATTGTTGTAGTAACATATTGAGTATAATCACAATAGCTCTAATAAAGCTTATCAAAATTTTTAAATAAATGAATATAATAATATTTATAACACAGTTATATCACTATGAAGTGCACATATCTGATCTTATCTATATAACTAAAAAAAAAAAACTCAAATTTGAATTTATGCATCACCTTAAAATGTGGCCTTGAAGATCATTAGGATTAAATCTATTTTTACCAAATAATAAATTTAATTAAAATTCAAACCACCATGCTTAACATTGATTTTTAGCATCACATCTATTAAAATTATGCACCAAGATATCATAAAAAGTTGTGCGATGATGTTTTACCAGCAGTATGTTATGTGTTTGCATCTCATATTTAACGCAACATCGTCATTAGCCTTAAATACTTAAATTCTATAACAAATTTTTCGATCACACCTCAAGATTTATATGTTATCCAAGCATATATGTACATGTATAGCAAGACGACTCAAATGAGTTAATCACATAAAAGAAACATTATAAAAGTAATAAAGTTGAAAATTACTCAAAAGTTTCATCGAACATATTATCAATACTTTAATCGCCCTTTGCCTTAAAAGTTGTTTGAATATTATTCCAGCATTAATTGAAAATTTTCAAATCTTGATCGAAGCACACATGATCAAAACTTCTTCAACTATTGCTCAATATTAGTTCTAAAAGACAAATAAGCTTAAAAAATTGTTCAAAATTTAGAGTTTGAAGGATAAGTATATAACATCATTGGTGACATATTTTATCAAATATATAATATCACTAACTTTTAATGACAATTATCCACTAACTAAATACGAAGATGAAGAATATTGAAACTGTCTCAAAACAATTACTTGCAAATGAGAATCACAAAAATTAATAAGGCATTAAGAATGGAAGACACAAATTGCACATGTAAAGTCAAATTTCTCAAAAATAATAATAAATAAGATATAATTTGAATGATAATTTTTTCATTTCTTTTCAAAATTTTAATAAAGCATTATAGAAACTGCAGTTGAAAAAAAATTAATAACAAGAATAAAAACATATAAACCATCTCAAACAAAACCTAAATGCAATTAACATAATAATAATAATAATAATAATAATAATAATAATAAAGATAATATCAAACTAAATTAGGTATGCTTTTATCATTAAAAATAATTAATCCTATGAACAAATTTATATTTTTAGAAATTACATAATTTCATTTTTTTTTTCCTAATCCTGATTTTAAAGCTTATTCGCAGCAAATCTTTTTTACAAAATAGCAAAGTTAATTTCAATAAACACCAAAATAATTATTTTTGCTGCTTTGAAAACGCATAAGCTAAGAATTTTATACATACTTAGGATAATTACTCAAACGCAATACAACTTTTTCTGCTTTTTAAAGTAATTTTTTAATATAAAAATTCAAATTTTTATACTAAAAAATTATTTAAAAAATAAAAAAAGGTCCCAAATGAAGTTTTGAATACTCAGCTTTAATTTGCAAGTCCTTTAGGCTTCGTTTGGGATGATTAAAGCAGTTAGCATAAAAAATTTTATACTAAAAATTTACTTTAAAAAACAGTAAAAAAAGTCATCGCAAAAAAACCTAAATCTTACTCCGATAATAGAAAAAATTCATCAGACAGTATAAATTAAACAACTGAATTAAAAAACAGCATAAAAATAGAGACAAATCACTGTCCAGATATTAACACTATAGCTACAGAGATGAAAAAAAAATGTTTAAAATAGAATAAATCCCCATCAGCTCCACCACCATAGCTTCCTTTGTGGAGGCGGAGGCGTGAGGATATCCAGCATTGTTTTTTTCTCCAGTTTTGTTAACGGCACTCCTCTGACAAGGTCCAAAGCCATGATATGCACATTAGTCCTTCTCTTGTGCCTCTGATAAGCCCAAACACCTGCAGCAGCTCCAGCGACGAGGAACTTTCCATGTACCAGTTCATCAATGTCAGCAATCAATTTTATTCATAAAGCCGTGAAGCTCAAGTTACAGATTATGCAAGTTGCTAGTAGCTTAATTATGTTTATATGCTTGTGCGTATGTATACTTGTATGTTTTTCTTTTCTTTTTTTGATCTCACCTTCACATTTTCCACTCAGTTCCAAAACTGAATTCCAACCAGAGGTGGATCTCATTAGGGGGTGTAAATGAGTATAATAGTTTGAGCGAGTTCATGTATTGTTTGACTCTACTCGTTAAGCAAAGGAGCAAAAATGTTTTGTTTGTGCTCATATTATAGGCTTATTGAGCCGATCACGATCTATTCATGAACAAAAAATCTAATTGAAAATCATATATAGGTCGAGATCGGCTCAATAAGCCTATAATATGAGCACAAACAAAACATTTTTGCTCATTTGCTTAACGAGTAGAGTCGAACAATACATGAACTAGCTCAAACTATGCTCATTTACACCCCCAATGAGATCCACCTCTGATTGGAATTCAGTTTTGGAACTGAGTGGAAAATGGTAAGTGAGTTATTTCTTCTCTTTTTTGGATCTCACCTTCACACTCAAAAATTGCAATAACAAAAAATAAATCATGAACTGAGTTTGCAGGAAGTGAGTTCATGGAAAATAAGAAGAAACCACTAAACTAAAACGAAACTTGACAAAGCTCCAACTCCATAAAGTGGCTCATAATTTGAGTATCTTTAAGTAAGCGAGTAGACAAGGAGAAATATGCCAATGATGCAAAAGAAAATCAAAAAAGAAAGAAAATAAATTGGAGATATAGTTAAAGATCAAAATTTGCCAGGATAAACTGACCGGAGATAACCATAAAGCTGCAGTCTGTACGTCAAATTTAGGCGCATAGAGTACCGTCTCCCCAAATTTATCCTGCAGGTTTTCGTATATTTCCTTGTCCGTTTTACCAGCCCTAATCTCGTCCCGTATTAGCTGCCAAAACATTAAAATGGGACCAAATTAATTACCTAATAAAGTCATCACGTAAATACATGAAAGAGAAAAGTAAGAAAATGACAAGCCCCCAAACACTAAACATGTTAAGTATCACTATGGAGTTATCTCGTTAAAATTAAATAACACGAGATTCACAATAATAAAATCCATATGATATATAAATATGGGAAAAAAATTATGAATAAGTTTCATTAAAACATGGCATGGCTTTAACTATTTGCCATACATGGAAACAATTCATGAAGTGCAACGTGTTTGAGGTTTCTTAAGACTCCCATCAAAGCAGTATCAGTAAAAATCTCACATCAAAGCATCGAAGCTTATCAATGTAACAAATTTCGTAAACTTCGAAATCTAAGTGCAGTTTTCTACAAATGTAACTAGCAGTATAGGAGAAATTATTATGTGCGGAGACCCAAAAACCCATTTTGACACCCCTAAACATAAGGTTGTGCACTAAGCCATGCATAAAAGGAACATAAGCATGTGCAATGTTACTCCCATACAAGCATGATATAAATGTCTAGATAACAAGCGAAGATATGAAAGATAGTAGCAGATGAATAAAATATTTTGGACGAGATAATCACGTAAAAGACTTAAAACATAATTTGTAAGATAGTGTTAGAACGAGGATATTAGTAAGGAGTACATCTTTACTGAATTTTCATATTATTACAAACATGTATGTGCCTCTATATAAGTAAGGATATAATAATTAATGAAAATGCATTAAAGCATAATATTCTCAATAATGATGAAATATTAAAATAATGAATAGTATAAAAATTTACAATAGAAATCTAGTCCATCCTTAAATGAAAAACTGAATCAATCATATATTCTATAGTATATGAATTGCTTGTATGAATTGATTAAGCAATCTAAATATTTAATTTTTGATGAATTATCTGTTGATATTATTGATGTGATGAATGACCAAATTAATAATAAACATCTTTGGTTCTTGATTTAGTGACATATAGATTCATAAACAAAAAAAAAAACTTCTAAAAAGAATTAGTTTACATTAATATTTGAAGGAATTCAATAATTATAAATGCCTAAAAGCAAACCTAAAATATAATGCTCTTCTTATCTGACTAATTCTAAAGATATATAATTTATCACAATTTATATTTAAACCGTATTTTTTAAGGTTGTTTGCCCGGATAGACACATCATATTTATGTAATTTGTCATTCAATTTCATTATCATCTCATTTTCTAAGTATCAGTTACAAGTCATTGTTCGTATTCCGAAGGTCATACATAAGTTTCATATCATTTTTATTACTTACCTTATATCTACTTGCATGAAATACATGAGAATATTCACAAAAAGCTAACTATTATAAGTTTTTTGTCAATGAGAATAAGAGATAAACAAAGTTTAAACCTAATAATATAAAGTAATTGTGCATTTAAATTCAAAAAGGTTCTTTTCAAAAACCTTCAAGATATTTAAAAAAAAGCAGGTTATTTAAAATCTTGCAGCATATTGAATTAATACCTATAAATTAAAGTTTGGGGCTTTACAGCATTAATCCAATTTTCATTTTTTCTGATCTGACTTTTTTTCATTAACCTCCTATAATTCCTTGGATTCTTTTCTTTTTCCATCTCATGAATCCAAATCCAACCCTCTATCATATAATTCCATATATTATTCTTGAGATTATTTTTATCATGAGACTATATGTCCACTATTGGTAATAACTTATGAATTACTTTATAAAAATCAAAACATTATGCCTGGATTGTTTAATGAGTATCATTAGATCAATTCATCAAATTTAAAAGTTTCAAGCTGAGCAGATTGGCATACGATTCTGATCTAATACCTTGAGGGTTCATTGGCATCTTACTCTTGTCACTGGTTATTTGGTGAACTGTGTGGAGTTGCAGTATTGGTGGACAACTCTAGTATTGTAACTTATTTTGCTCAGTATGGTAGCCATGTTTGTTGGCTTAAATATGGAATTTGCAATTCTACCAACTTTTCACCATTCTATGTACAATCATTTGAATAAATTTTTGCTCTTCTCCAGTGCCCCGAGCAACCATACAAGCCATATGAAAATTCTATGCATAGACAATTTAAGATATAACAAAAAAAACATTTAATGATTTTTTCATTTCAGTTTCAATTTGACATGCATGCTAGATGCATAATTCCTTCAAATGCAAAATAAGTGTGGCTATTTAATTCTATCAATGGAGTCTAAATTTTCTTCAATTTGGTGAATTATCGCATTCAAAATTTTCTCCCATATATAATGTTGTTGGACTTGCTATAGTTCCTGAATTTAATTGAGCTTTCGACAATGAGTTGGTCGCTGGTTTTGTGTGGCTTGAAATTTTCTCATTGATTCCTTTAGATTGACTAGATCGTTGCAGTATCCTTTGGATTCTACTTCTCTTATTTTCCCCTTCACACATAAGCAAAATGAGTTTTCCGTGGATTTTGTAGTCTTTAATCTACAAATGTATTCATTGCATCGTTCTAGTTGCATCTAGAAACCTTGGACCCTAAAAAATCTGCATCAAATATAAGTAAAATAAACAATCCAGACGAATGGGAAATAATGAAGAGACATAAGAAACAATCATTGCAGTGTTCCTTTGAATTCTACTTCTCTTATTTTCCCCTTCACACCTAAGCAAAATAAGTTTTTGTGGATTTAGTAGTCTTTAATCTACAAATGTATTCATTGCATCATTCTAGTTGAATTTAGAAACCTTGGACCCTAAATAAATCTGCATCAAATATAAGTCAACAAAACAATCCAGACAAATGGGAAATAATGAAGAGACATAAAGAAAAATAATACCTTCCGCAATAGAATGGCAACGTCTGCTTGGGACTCTTCAATGGACTGGCTTCCACACTCAGTGCAACGTACATTATGGCTAATATTTCTAGCACGAGCTTCCACAATCTGTGTTTTCTTCAAGTCATCCTCACTTGACATTGTTCAAGTAGTCCTTTAAAAAAAAAAAGATAGGAATGTATCAAGAATTCGTTATTTTTCTTAGGAGTTTCAATATCCTCATCACCATCCATAGCAATTGCTTTGATTATAGATTTCTTGGTTGGTAGCAGAATGACGAAGATTAAATGTATAAAAAACCACTAGAAAAAACAATGTTTTCATCTAAAACTATGAGAAGGAACTATCTTGATGCTATGCAAAGCCTAGCTGATTTGGAAAACGTATTCCCATTAAGCATTCCATTAAAAAAATACTTAAAACGTGATACTTTTAAGTTGATTTGCTAAAATCTATATCAAAATTTTACATTTCAAAGGTAATAACAAAATAAACGAGTATACAGCGTTATTCAACCATGTTCAAATCCATAGGCAATTTCTGAGGACACAACAAAATTCACAACCGCATAATCCATACAAGAGCTATCATTTTAAAACCAACTATAACTAATATAGAGATAACAACCATGCGAAAAAACTTGAAAGTTGATGTTTTCTTGTCTTAAAAAGAATTAAATATTTTCAATGGTATTTAAGATATAATACAAAATATAATTAGGAAATTATAAATACAATTTAGAAAGCAATTTCATAGTAAGAGAAAAAATAAATGTTTAGGTGAATATTATGGAGAACCATATATTAGAGAAAAACAAGTCTGCATGCAAAGACAGGGCGGAAAAAATGGTGGTTTGGTAACAAAAACCTCATTTTGCTTATAGTCCTCTTTTAGGTATAACCACAATAGCTTCTCTTTAATTGGATTTGACAACCAACTCCTTTGAGTTCTCATGTTGACGAAGAGCTTCAAAAATGAATCCATTTAAGTAATAAGGTAATGAAATATCACAAATCCCACGGCCGAGTGAAATAATCAACACAAAGCGGACTTAAAATAACAAACACTTTCTGAAAATTGCAAAAAAATTTAAAGCTATGAAAATCAGGAAAGAAATATAAACTTTATTCATAAAAAACAATAAGTATATTTCCAAGAACTAAAATCATACGACAAAATAATTATAATTACTACATTGCAACTTGAAAGGGATGATAAAAATTAAAAAATCAATTATTAAATATGCTATTAAGTCAAGTGTTGAGTTAAATTGATTAAAGATTGAACAAATAAATTCTAAATAAAACAAGAATAAGTTTTGCTTAAAATCAAAGTTTATATGTACATATATATTAGCCATTAAATAAAATAGCTGAAATGTGGTAGTTAAATATTAATTAAAAATATAGTAAAAATATTAAAATTGAGTTTAAATTTAAAAATAATAATATATATGATGTTATTATAAAGTAGCAGTTAAAATATTTATATTCAAAATACATCATGTCTTTACTAAAATTTAAAGGTACTGGCAAGAAGTGAATTTAAAATTAAATCAAAAACATGGAAATGGATGATAAGATAGTATCCAAATTATACTATGTAAGTATGTATCATATCCATATTTCAAGGTGATGACTGATGACCTTATTTCATAGTTTTTAAATGTGTTTGAATTCAATTTCAAAGTTATGCAATGTGCATGGATTATGCCAAGTTTTAATGTGGGCTCCGAAAATTCGGCCCCGGCTTCTGCTCGCTCTTCTTATTTGGCGAGGGAGTTTTAGGAGTTTTAACGAACTAAGTTCCGAGGTAAATTTTGGAAGGCAGATGGGTTTGTAGATAAGACACTACCCAGAGATTTCGCCCTCATTTTGTGAGGACTTTATGATCTGAGTTCTGGTTTCCTATAGGCGCAAGCCCCTATAGTTAATTACCCCTCCCGATCACGAGAGAGAACTTCTGATTAAGGCTAGTCGTTGATCAGATACGTAAAGATACGTGGTCCCCCCCAAAATATAGAGACAACAACAATGCAAAAAACTTGAAAATTGATGTTTTCTTGTCTTAAAAAGATTTAAATATTTCATTGGTAATTAAGAGATAATAGAAAATATAATTAGGAAATTATAAATACAATTTAGAAAGCAATTTCATATTAAGAGAAAAAAGAAATGTTAGGTGAAGATTATAGAGGACCATATATTAGAGAAAAACAAGTCTGCATGCAAGGACAGGGCAGAAAAAATGGTGGTTTGGTTACAAAAACCTCATTTTGCTTAGGGTCCTCTTTTGGGTATAACCACATTAGCTTCTCTTTAATTGGATTTGACAACCAACTCCTTTGAGTTCTCATGTTGACGAAGAGCGAAGCATATTCAGCCCAAAAATGAATCCATTTAAGTAATAAGGTCATGAAATATGACAAATCCCATAGCCGCTGAAATAATCAACACAAAGCTGACTAAAAATAACAAACACTTTCTGTAAATTGAAAAAAAATTTAAAGCTATGAAAATCAGGAAAGAAATATAAACTTCATTCATACAAAACAATAAGTATAATTCCTAGAACTAAAATCATACAACAAAATTATTATAATTACTACATTACAACTAGAAAGGGATGATTAAAATTAATAAATCAATTATTAAATATGCTATTTAAGTCAAGTGTTGAGTTAAATTGATTAAAGATTGAACAAATAAATTCAAAATAAAACAAGAATAAGTTTTGCTTAAAATCAAAGTTTATATGTAAATATATATTAGCCATTAAATAAAATAGCTGAAATGTGGTAGTTAAATATTAATTAAAAATACAGTAAAAATATTAAAATTGAGTTTAATTTTAAAATAATAATATATATGATGTAATTATAAAGTAGCAATTAAAGTATTTATATTCAAAATACATCATGTCTTTACTCAAATTTAAAGGTAATGGCAAGAAGTGAATTTAAAATTAAATAAAAACATGGATGATAAGATAGTATCCAAATTATACCATGTATCATATCCATATTTCAAGGTGATGACTGATGACCTGATTTCATAGTTTTTAAATGTGTTTGAATTCAATTTCAAAGTTATGCAATGTATCATACATGGATTATGCCAAGTTTTAACTCTGGTTCAACTTCATGCAAACTATTGATCTTTCTTAATTAGGGGTTGTTTGGTTGCATATCTACATACATATTATTAAGTTGTAATGAGGGAGAAGGTTCCCCCAAATTTTCAAAGTAATAAGAGAGCACAATTTGAAATAGGTTTCTCTCAAAATTTTACATTTTGAGTGATGGAAAAAAATTTATTTTTAATTTGAAAATGGTAAGTTGCGTTACCAAATCTATTTACATATCTAATATAATCTACATCATATATCATGCTTTTCTAATTATTACATTCTATCATCAATTAAAGGACTGTAATTAGAAAAAACATTGAGCTTTCCTAATTACTAAAAAAAATTCAAATTTTTTGTAAATCTTAAATAATGGTGAAAAAAATTATATGTACCATATTTGTAGTATATTATTTCAACAAATAAAAAAATTATTTTATCATGTATTCAAATTCTTTTATTCTTTCATTAGCAGATAAAGGATAACCAAAATTTTCTTTTAAATTTAACACCATGTATTATAACACCCAATCTTTATAATTATTAAAGCTACTAATATTTTTTCTAATTATTACATAAAAATCAATCTTTATAATTATCATTTTTTTATAATTATTACAAGTGATTATTTTCTTGCATATAGTGCACATGTATTATGAGAGTGTAGAATAGAGTACACTAATATTGTGCATTATTTGGGCAGAACCAAAAAAGATACGTGAAGAAGGAATATTATGAATGCACAGAGATTTTAAAATCCGAATCTAACATTGAATCGGAAGAAGAAAGTTTTTAAATTTTCTTTAATTAATAACTATTTAAATGACATACTAATTAACAAACAATAATTAAATATAATCTCGTTCATATAACTGTGAATGAAAAACTAAGACAATTATTTTAAAAAAATTCAAATAGCATACAAAACCTAAGCAAAAATACACAAAGAAATTTCAAATGTTCAGCCATATTCACACATTGACATTTGACAATATAAAGATATGTGAAGAAGCGGATATTATGCCTGGAAGAATACAAGAGAATAAAGAATGATATCTTGCCAGAATGCAACTGCAAATAGGAATGTAGGAGACGTCGGGAAGGGGCTACCGGCTTGCAAGGGTTTTGATGGCTGCCAGCATTGAGGTAGACGCCAAAAGCAAAGAGGTGTCTGCGGGCTAAAACTTGCTGAGAGACGCGAGGGATGTGTCCGCCAAGTTGGAACACAAGACGCATAAGGGAAGAATCTTCTGTAGCGAGAGACAAGAACGAGAACAGGAAATAGCCTCCCACTATAAGTGCGTCAATGGCGAGGTCGTGCGCGTCGTCACCACAAAAGAAGGGATCGAATGCGAGGGCTTCGGGATTTACATAAATACCAATATATTTTTATTTTAAATTACTTAACAATACTTTATGGGTTGATGGGTGGAGTTATGGCCTGATTGAAATTGATCTAAAGTATATTTAATCTAAATTCGACTAAATGTATTTGACTCAAATTTAGTTTTTGGATCAATATGACTCTTTAGACTTTTTTTTTCCCGGCTTTGAAGAATTTTATCCCCAAGAATTGTATCAGTTCAAAATTATTCGAGTCAAGATTAAGGTTGGACTTGCCTATGTATAAGCTTTAAGAAATTCACAAGATGAAAGGCTAGTGGTGTCAAGAAAAAGGAAGAGGGATGGATTAATTGGCCATATAGATTCTTTTTCACATCATTCATCCTTATATATGATGTGACACTCAAGACAAGTCCCTTGAGTTGGATGTAGATGGCATACTCCATGTTCATGATAGGAAAGTTCACATTCTCTATGAGGAAGGGGGAAGCCATGTTCTTTAACCAATCTATCATTGAATTCACAAAGACATACTTAGACTTCTGCTCTCTCACCTTGTTCTCTAGTCAGATTATTCACACATAGGCGGAAGAAACTAAAGGCACCACCTTAAAAGCCTTCATAGAGAAAATATGGTGAAAGAATGTTATGCTCTACAGTATCTTCTATGCCCTCATATACGA